ATTCCACTAAGTGTAGAGACCGGGGCGGGTCGTTACAATTATGACTACTTTGGATATGCTATATATGTTGCATGTATTGTGTGTGTGGGCTATTTAGCATTGGTTTCTGCACATCGAGCCTAATTAGTGAGACATTTCTCACTCCCTTTTTTATCTGTGTTTCCTGTTTTATGATGATGTGCAGGTGAGCCTCAACCGGATGTCGAAGGTTTTGATGGGGAAGTCTAGTAAGGAAGCTCTAATTAGACTATGTGATACAGGTGTTTAGCATTAGAGAATTTTTGTTTATTGTGTTTTTATGGAATTCATTATGTTATTTATTTTTACCAAAGGATTTATGTTTAAGTGATTTTATGTTCTATGAAAGGATTTTTGTAATGTGAACTCTCTACTCATGATTTGGAAGAGAACGTTTTATTTCAATTGAAGTATTTTTGAATTTATTTCATTTTAAAGAGAATTATGTCCTTTTTATGTTGAATAGAAGTCGAGTTATTTCCAAGATTAATTTAAATAAAATAATTTTTGTGAAGTATAATATTATATTTACTTTATATTTAGTTAAGGTTTAATATTTCTTTAAATCATGTTAAAAAAATATAAACTAAATATGTTTATATTTAATTGATAATTTGTATAATTTTAGAATAGTTAATTTTTTATTTATAATTTTTAAAGTATTTAAAAATAATTTTAAAATAGACAAACATACATTTTATCAATATGTAAGTTTTTTGAAATATAATTTTTTTTTCAGACATAAGGTCATTTGAACACAAAACACCTAGGCTCTATCTCCCAAAAAATTCTTAAAATGGTTGCGTGTTTAAGGGGTATGCATTTTCTGTTTATTTTTTATTTTCAAGTATTACATTCACCCCTAAGGACATTTTGTTTGTAACGTTATCCACATGACTAAAACAATTTATTTTGATAATCAATTTTTTAAGTAATTTATTTTTAATATTTTATTATTATTTTTATTTATTTTGGCTGGAAAGTCATTAGCATAGTGTTAAGAGAAACTGAGAAAAAGATTGGGATAGAAGCAAAATGATTTAGATTTATTTTTTGACACATTTTTAAAAAATATTTTATAGATAAAAAACTCAATTTGTCTCTTTTTTTTATTCCTTAACTGCTTAACATAATTTTTGAATAATAAAAAATGGAGAAAAAAATATTATCATATATGTTAGCACAATAAAAATATATAATTAATGTTAGATAGGATAAATGATCGATGTATCATATTCTTTTTTTTTTTTTAATTTCATCTATCATATTCTATTATGATTTTTTTAAAATAATAAAAATTTAGATTATGATAAGATATATAATATCAAAGTTAATCATTAATTTCTTTAAAGATTTTTAATGAAATTACAAGTTGTTTATTTCATTTTTGACAAATGTTCTTATAAAAAAAATGTAAAATACAAGAGAAATTAGATTCTATTTCAAATCTTAGTTAGTAAGAATACAAAAGTCTTAACCAATTGTGTCATCTTTGTCACCATATTTTATTATTAATGCTAAACTGGTTCTAAATGTGCACGTATAAAAATAAGTACGATACAAGAGAAATTGTAATTGTCTATTTCATTTTTGACACATGTTCTTATAAAAAAAATGTAAAATACAAGAAAAATTATATTTTATTTTAAATTCTAGTTAGTAAGAATACAAAAGTCTTAACCCATTGTGTCATCTTTGTCCCCATATTTTATTATTAATGCCAAACTAATTCTAAATGTGCATGTATAAAAATAAATACAATAAATGACATAATAGATCATATTGTTATATCATATTACTAGTTTATTTTTTCGTTAAATATAAATTTTATATCAATGAAAATAATTTTAATGTCTAATGTTTTTTATTCGCTATTAAATGACATGATCAGGATTTTTTTTATATGTTAATAAACTCATTTTTTAATTAATTATTTATTTATTAACGTAATGTTTGTTCGAAAGAAAATAAAGTGGAAGAAAAAAATTTCTACATTTTTTTTTCATTTCAAATTTTGACTAAAGGGACGAAAAGCAGACAGGATCCTACTTATTTCTTATTCAATTTTGACTTTTTACCCTCTTCTAAAATCGGAAGATTTACGATAAAAAAACGAAATTTATATATTAATAGGATTGAATTATTTTATGTCTCTATATTTTATTTTAAAAATAAAAATAAAGATAAAGATAAGATTAAATAACAAAGATAGTTAAATAAATAATTAATATTAATTGATTCAATTAATGTTGTACTTGATGTTCAAATTTAAAGGTCATCATGAATTTAAATTTTAGATTAGATAAAAATATTTATTTATTTATTTTTATAACAAAAGAGTATAATAATTTATCAAATATAAAAAATAAGGTGGTTATTAAAAAAGATATTTATTTTATGTATTAATATAATTAAACTAATTTACTTTTAACTTAATAACTTTATTTGTCAACTATTCTATATTAAGTATATAACTTAATTAATATCTTCCCAATCTACTCAAATTGACCCCGAAAAGATCATGAGATGATATTTACTTCTATAAGCAGGATTGCTATACATGACCTTATTTTATATATATATATATATATATATATATATATATATATATATATCAAAAAGGGGGTAAATTCTCTTTTT